CTTCCTGCTCTGACCAATCAGAGTGCAGCATTTGTACCGTCGACCGATTTCAAAATAAAAGCTTTGACTGAGAACTGCTCTGAAGTCTGTTTTATTGATAGAACACAAACAGTGACATCAATCAGTAACCGATCACAAATAAACATTCCTAATCAATAACAGTCTGCTGACTCCGCCCCCTCCTCAGCTGTCAATCACTCAGTAAGGTTTGGCTCTCTTGGCTGCGGGAGCGTCACCTGTTCAGGTGAGACAACATCAGATCAATATGTACACACACACACACACACACACACACACACACACACACACACACACACAGACAGACAGACAGACAGACAGACAGACAGACAGACAGACAGACACACAGACAGACACACAGACAGACAGACAGACAGACAGACAGACAGACAGACAGACAGACACACACACACACACACACACAGACAGACAGACAGACAGACAGACAGACAGACAGACAGACAGACAGACAGACAGACAGACAGACAGACACACACTAACGTACTGTGTGCAGCAGGTGGAGCCTCCTGCTGGCAGCTCTTCATGGTGTAAATAATCCCAGAGGCCGACTTCCTGGTTTCTGACAACAAACAATAATAACAACAATAACGATGATGACGATGACGATGACGATGATATACTGCAGTAGTACTTACCTGCGTGTAGAATTACTGATCGACAGGTGGATGAAACGGCTTCTTTTGCGTCTCCGTCTGACAAACCGAACAACAACCCTCTGAGGAACAGCGTCAGGACAACAACAACAACGACAACAACCCTCTGAGGAACAGCGTCAGGACAACAACAACAACGACAACAACCCTCTGAGGAACAGCGTCAGGACAACAACAACAACGACAACAACCCTCTGAGGAACAGCGTCAGGACAACAACAACAACGACAACAACCCTCTGAGGAACAGCGTCAGGACGACAACAACAACCTTCTGAGGAACAGCGTCAGGACGACAACAACAACCCTCTGAGGAACAGCGTCAGGGACGACAACAACAACCCTCTGAGGAACAGCGTCAGGACGACAACAACAACGACAACAACCCTCTGAGGAACAGCGTCAGGACAACAACAACAACGACAACAACCCTCTGAGGAACAGCGTCAGGACAACGACAACAACCCTCTGAGGAACAGCGTCAGGACAACAACAACAACCCTCTGAGGAACAGCGTCAGGACGACAACAACAACCCTCTGAGGAACAGCGTCAGGGACGACAACAACAACCCTCTGAGGAACAGCGTCAGGACAACAACAACCCTCTGAGGAACAGCGTCAGGACGACAACAACAACGACAACAACCCTCTGAGGAACAGCGTCAGGACAACAACAACAACCCTCTGAGGAACAGCGTCAGGACAACAACAACAACGACAACAACCCTCTGAGGAACAGCGTCAGGACAACAACAACAACCCTCTGAGGAAATGCGTCAGGACGACAACAACAACCCTCTGAGGAACAGCGTCAGTACGACAACAACAACCCTCTGAGGAACAGCGTCAGGACGACAACAACAACCCTCTGAGGAACAGCGTCAGGACGACAACAACAACCCTCTGAGGAACAGCGTCAGTACGACAACAACAACCCTCTGAGGAACAGCGTCAGGACGACAACAACAACCCTCTGAGGAACAGCGTCAGGACGACAACAACAACCCTCTGAGGAACAGCGTCAGGACGACAACAACCCTCTGAGGAACAGCGTCAGGACAACAACAACAACCCTCTGAGGAACAGCGTCAGGACGACAACAACAACCCTCTGAGGAACAGCGTCAGGACGACAACAACAACCCTCTGAGGAACAGCGTCAGGACAACAACAACCCTCTGAGGAACAGCGTCAGGACGACAACAACAACGACAACAACCCTCTGAGGAACAGCGTCAGGACAACAACAACAACCCTCTGAGGAACAGCGTCAGTACGACAACAACAACCCTCTGAGGAACAGCGTCAGGACAACAACAACCCTCTGAGGAACAGCGTCAGGACAACAACAACAACGACAACAACCCTCTGAGGAACAGCGTCAGGACGACAACAACAACCCTCTGAGGAACAGCGTCAGGACGACAACAACCCTCTGAGGAACAGCGTCAGGACGACAACAACCCTCTGAGGAACAGCGTCAGGACAACAACAACAACCCTCTGAGGAACAGCGTCAGGACAACAACAACCCTCTGAGGAACAGCGTCAGGACAACAATGACGACAACAACCCTCTGAGGGGTATTGCACAAAACCAGGATAAGGGATTAAGTCGGGATATGTTGGTTATCCTGGATGAATTTAGCCTCAAGTCGGTTGCATGAAAGCAGGTTAAACTTATCCCGGCCAGGTTACTATGGTGATTTATTCTCTGCAGCTAGCCTGCTCCAGACCAGGCTAACAGCCAGGCTAACATTAATCCTAGTGATTCACCTGTATTTCCATCGTCAGTCCTGTGAGGAATTAATGTGTTTTACAGCATGTCCATGGTCTTTCTAAGTATGTTGCATCATTTTAATTATCCTGCATTAAAATATTACATATATTGTCATTTCTCATTTATTTAAATCTGTTGGCTGTTTGTAATTGCAACAGTCTTTTTATATTGATTCAAGTGGTAGTTTTATTACTCAGGACAAGTGTTATATTGCTATGCTAATGAAGACTGCTTGTCAAACTGCATAAATATGTGTTTATTGCAGTAATTGAGATTACAAAACACAGCTGATGAAGTTGCAAAGGTGTTTTCAATGAAATCTGTGACAAGGGCAATATAGTATATATATTATGGCATACCGTTTAGGAAATTAATCTTTGAATATATAGAATGAATCTTGACTGGTCATCAAGGCACTGCTGCCATCTTGTAGAAGGGAGAATGAGTCAGTCAGGAACCTTGTGGCAGCAATACTGATCAATGAGGACATTATTAACTCATTGGTAAGTGCTTGTACGGGCCAAAATCCTTCCCATAGTACCTGTGCCCAATACCGTTCTCCTGACGAAGAAGTTCACTTCCTTTTTAATGGTGGCAGGCCGACTACAACAGGCCTCAGGCTAAATCCTGACAGAAAAAGCAAAGAAGTTTTCCAGTTTAAGAAAGTATTGTAATATTTCAACTGATGCCATTTTGTAAAACCAGCTAATTCAGAAGGCTATCACTTTGATGAAAAGGATACAACTAGGTTTTGAATTTCATTCAGTATTATCACATTTCTATCAGTATATTCAAGATTCATTCCATATATTCAAAGCTTCATTTCCTAAACGGCATGCCATAATATATATATATACATATATATATATATATATATATATATTATTCACTCCTGTTCCCTCTTCATAATGGCTTGCTCTTTTTTGGAGGATGTACTGGATGAGGAAGCCCTAATCCTCAGACGAGCATTTAGTCATGAAAGAGTCTTCTGGGACAGGTCAGACCCATTGGCCGTTGGAGAGAACTATCTCATTGAGAGATACAGATTCTCAGGTGATGGACTAAGATATTTATGTAGGCTGCTGGGTCCAAAAATACAGCACCAGACGGCAGGAAGCCATGCTCTCAATGTACCACAGATGGTCTGTGTAACAGTGAGATGTTTTGCAAGTGGGAGCTTCCTTTATTCTGTTGGGGATGCAGAGAACCTCAATAAAGGAACCATTTGCAGCACATATCCTGGCTTGGTGGGCCGCCCCCTGTGCCAGTTCTATGGGCTTTTTTTAACTGCTACAATCATACAGACATTCAACAAGTCAGCAGATACCTAATCTATTCACCTCATTTATTCACTGTTATCTACTTTAGAGTCACTGACCAGCCTGCAAAATGTTCTTGTATTTAACTTTAACTTGCTGCCAGGTCCTTTTATGGCCAGACAAGTTTGTTCTTTATGAAGGATAGAAAGATAAAATAGATAAAAACAGATTAAATGACACACATTGTGGATAATTGTTTGCACTTAATCATACTCTACATTTAAGTAACATGAACCTCTACTTGCCACATTTAAAGCAAAGTGTACAACAGTTGATTAGTGGACTTAAAGTAACTCCTTTAGTCCTTTAATTGGAGCCTAATGATGACAGTTCCAGTGGAGCACTGTTTATTCATTGTACAGTTTTGGACTACTTAAGCATTAAGCCGGTCCGCTATTGTCTGCCAGGCTTTCTCTCTTTCTTTAATTATGGCATTGGTATTGCCTTTGTTTCTTCTATCTTCCACCTCTTCATAGAACTCCATCAGGAGCTGTTGTTCAGCGACTCTTATCCATGTTCCCATCGGTGATTCTGTGAGCGATCGCGAGGTCTATTTCAGTATGCCGTGAACACGCACTTATCCCGACTATCTACACCTGGCTTAACATAGCCGCACCTTTTCATCCTGGCTCGGCAAACGTGCAACCATTAAGCCAGGATGCAGCGAATAGGCTAGGTCAAGCCGCGCTTGCTCAATTATCCTGGATTTCTTTACTGCAGCACACGCAGGCCGCGACAACTTCTCCTCTAATTAGCAAGTTTATGTATGAAAGGAAATAACACAACAGTTCTACAAGTTAACACTGCGACTACAAGTATTTAAGTAACTTACATTCACTTTTACAACAAAAAACAATGAAACTACGGAGAGCAGCAAAACTGCGTAACTTTCTGAGAAAAGTCACGAAAGAGGAAGTAAAACCTGACACAACGCGGTAAATGCAGGTTTAGAAAATAAAATACTTCCGGTAATAATCCGACATGGTCCCTGACATATGTGCTCAAAACATTAACATTTACAATTACACAATTACATCATACTATAACCACAACACTCAAAGGAATAAAGAAAAACATGGCAGCAAAAACGCTACCCTTCAAAATAAAAGTCTGCGCTTCACTGCCTTGTTCATAATATGGCGCAACAACATCACACCACTACACGAGTAAACTACTGCAGCAGAAACAGCAGAAGAAGAAGGATACAGGTTGGTGATGTCATAGGGACCTCTGAGCTCCAGAGGCTGTGGACACAGACACACACACACACATTATTGATTACTGGTTATTGATCAGTGCTGATAACCGGTGGATGGGGAACAGAAGCTGACCTTCTCTGCGGCACTGGACAGGATCACATTCTGAAACACAAACAGGTGAGTCAAGCTCCGCCTCCTCTGACATTAGTATGACATCACATTCTGTTGGGGAGGACGTACCTTCCCTTTACAGCTGTCCATCAGAGACACTGCGTTAGCGATGGTGTAACGCCTCATGGTGGCGTCTCTGATGGAGGCGGAGTACGACACCTCGAACACCAGACCCCTGTCCACTGCCTACACACACACACAATATACACAATATACACACAATATACACACAAAATATATACACACACACACAATATACACAATATACACACAATATCACACACACACACACACACACAATATACACACACACAACACAATATACACACAAAATATACACACACACACAATGTACACACACACAATATACACACACACACACAATATATACACACACACACACAATACAATATACACAAAATATCACACACACACACACACACACACAATGTACACACACACACAATATACACACACACACACACAATATACACACACACACACACAATATACACACACACGATATACACACACACAATATACACACACACACACACACACAATATACACACAATATACACAACACACACAATATACACACAATATACACACACACACACACAATATACACACACACAATATACACACACAGTTCAGGCAGTTAGCCTAGCCGCTAACAGCAGATATAGTTAGTATTAGTTATTAATTACTGATGTTCATTAACTAACTAGCTGCTCTGCTGCAGACGTCAGCTGATATTGATCCATCACTCTGTCTACTGATGTTTATTTATTATGTGTTCTGTACACTGTACAATCAACAACAACAACAACAACAACCACCACCACCTCACCCCGTTGACCGGCGCTCTCTTGAAGAAGAAAGGAAGTTTCTCTGTCACTGAGATACAGATGATGTCAACGTCATACATCATACAGGCTGCCTGCACACACACACACACACACACGTTATTGATTATCAGTGATCATGTTTCCTGTAAATAGACCCCCCCCTCGGTGTCAGTGAATCTCACGTGGAAGAGTTTCTCTGTGGTCGGTTGGATCGCAAGCAGGTCGAAGCAGCGATACTCTGGAGAGCTGGGCCTCTGCACACACACACACACACACACACACACACACACACACACACACACACACACACACACACACACACACACAATAATCAAACTGATTGATTGGCTGACAGTTATTAGGTCGTTAATGATTAAAATACTCACAAAGTGACTGGAGTCTGACATCACTACGGTCAGTCTGTTCAGCACTCTGATTGGACGAGACCGACCCTGACACACACACACACACACAAAATCATCATCATCACCACCTTCATCTTCATCACCACCTTCATCATCATCACCACCTTCATCTTCATCACCACCTTCATCTTACCTGTACAATTGGCAGCTGATCAATCAGCTCATTGATCGGCGTCGGGGCGGGAATCTCCTACAAACAGGAAATGAACAGAAAGTTACAAAATAAAAGTGGAGCTGAAGGCAGACTCGGCGCTCAGGTGACCACTCACCTGTTTCTTTTTAGCCGTGGGTTCGAACACGTAGTTGATGGCGACTGTGGAGAACCCGACTGCATGAAGGAGACAGAACATCATCAATAACTGATCACTTTAACGATGATTATTGATCGGTTTGTTGAATATATGAAGTGTGTTTATATTCCAGATTATTCAATATTCTTCTATTAACGCTTAAATTGAGCTTTAATTCATTCAAATGCTGTTTGATAGATGAACTTTATATTTATATATATATAGTTTATTACACAGGAACCTTTAAATATCTGGTACAATGATTTGTTGTCTTGTTAGTAAATAAATAAACACATTGACCCTGAACTATAAAAATTAACTCTAACGTTAATTAACCGAGGAAACCTTAAAATGACAGCTTTTTGAATGGAGTCTGGTGGAAAGTTTTTCGCGGGTTTTCGCTATTTTCGCGCCCTCATTGATGGAATCAGTAATAAATATTGATCTGCCAGCTGTTGAACGAGCTACTAACAGATTTTACTGAACACAAAGTGATCTGTACAACTGCACACTGAGTTTAGCTCCGATGCTATCAGTTAGCGTCCCGGTTGAGCAGGAAGTGAACTGCTGTTAAATGAGCAGTTTTCAGAGTGAACCCTGGTGGGCAGACTCACGGTGAGCGGCGCTCTCTATCAGACTGTGCAGGCGGCTCTTATCGCTGCTGTAGCTCAGATTCAAATCCATAAACACCGACATGATGCTGCTGCTGCTGCTCACACAACCATCACTAACATGTGTGCAGCCGAACGGCCTGCTGGGAACTGAAGTCCTTCCCTGGAAGTCTTCTTCTCTGATTTAATGGCGGATCACAGCGTGTATAGCGCCGCCTGCTGGACGGTGTTTGCCACCAGTGGTTATATTAACACATTATTATATTCATACACTGTTTCACATTACATACTGTAGTATTAGTAATAAGAATAACTGACGATGTTTATCATTAATATTAATTAATAATTGACTGAGTCAGATCAATAACAGACAGAAAGTAGATCCTGCTCTCCCTCCGCCAGGGGGCAGAGTGCACCCGCAATCAAACTGACAGTAGAAGAAGAAGAAGAGGTCAGAGTGAAGAAGAGCAGCAGGTTCGTAACAAACACACAAACTCTTCACACCAAACTCCATTCATATTCTGACCACTTTAAGACTGTTTACATGAGGTTTATTATTATTAACTGTATTATTACTCAGTGTCACACACACACACACACACACAGACACACACACAGAGACACACACAGAGACACACACACAGAGACACACACACAGAGACACACACAGACACACAGAGACACACACACACACAGACACACAGAGACACACACACACACACACACACACAGAGACACACACACAGAGACACACACACACAGACACACACACACACACACACACACACACACAGAGACACACACACACACACAGAGACACACACACAGAGACACACACACAGAGACACACACAGCACACACACACACACACACACACACACACACACAGACACACACACACACACAGAGACACAGACACACACACAGAGACACACACAGACACACACACACACACACACACACACAGAGACACACACAGAGACACACACACAGAGAGTGTCCCTCTGCTTCCTGTCTTTATGCTAAGCTAGGTTAGCAGTGTCCCTCTGCTTCCTGTCTTTATGCTAAGCTAGGTTAGCAGTGTCCCTCTGCTTCCTGTCTTTATGCTAAGCTAGGTTAGCAGTGTCCCTCTGCTTCCTGTCTTTATGCTAAGCTAGGTTAGCAGTGTCCCTCTGCTTCCTGTCTTTATGCTAAGCTAGGTTAGCAGTGTCCCTCTGCTTCCTGTCTTTATGCTAAGCTAGGTTAGCAGTGTCCAGTTGCAGCCATGTTCAGACCTCTGAAGATCCTTATTGGCACAAAATGTCCTCCGACCCGCTGCTGCTCAGCCTTCGTCTCCAGGATGAGGTTCAGTAACTTACAGTAACCTGATTGAGTAATTGATTGATTGATTGACTGACAGATTGACAGATTGAGTAATTGATTGATTGATTGATTGATTGATTGATTGATTGATTGATTGATCTCAGGTATGTGAACAGACTGAAGGAGGATGATGAAGCTTGTGCTGCAGCGCTGCAGAACGCTCACATCTTCCTCTTCCACCGGTTGTCTCCTCTTCTGCAACGAACCGAGCACAGAACCCTCAGACCCACAGCTCTCGTCTGCTCAGGTACAGAACCACAGAACCACAGAACCACAGAAGCAGAGAACCACAAGTACAGAACCTCAGAACCAGATAACAACAGGTACAGAACCACAGAACCACAGAACCTCAGAACCAGATAAGCACAAGTACAGAACCTCAGAACCAGAGAACCACGAGTACAGAACCACAGAACCAGATAACAACAGGTACAGAACCAGAGAACCTCAGAACCAGAGAACCACAAGTACAGAACCTCAGAACCAGATAACAACAGGTACAGAACCAGTAACCACAGGTACAGAACCACAGAACCAGTAACCACAGGTACAGAACCAGATAACAACAGGTACAGAACCAGAGAACCTCAGAACCAGAGAACCACAAGTACAGAACCACAGAACCAGATAACAACAGGTACAGAACCAGAGAACCTCAGAACCAGAGAACCACAAGTACAGAACCTCAGAACCAGATAACCACAGGTACAGAACCAGATAACAACAGGTACAGAACCAGTAACCACAGGTACAGAACCTCAGAACCAGATAACAACAGGTACAGAACCAGATAACAACAGGTACAGAACCTCAGAACCAGATAACAACAGGTACAGAACCAGATAACCACAGGTACAGAACCACAGAACCAGATAACAACAGGTACAGAACTACAGAACCAGATAACAACAGGTACAGAACCTCAGAACCAGTAACCACAGGTACAGAACTACAGAACCAGATAACCACAGGTACAGAACCACAGAACCAGATAACAACAGGTACAGAACTACAGAACCAGATAACAACAGGTACAGAACCTCAGAACCAGTAACCACAGGTACAGAACTACAGAACCAGATAACAACAGGCACAGAACCTCAGAACCAGTAACCACAGGTACAGAACTACAGAACCAGATAACAACAGGTACAGAACCACAGAACCAGATAACAACAGGTACAGAACCTCAGAACCAGATAACAACAGGTACAGAACTACAGAACCAGATAACAACAGGTACAGAACCACAGAACCAGATAACAACAGGTACAGAACCTCAGAACCAGATAACAACAGGTACAGAACCACAGAACCAGATAACCACAGGTACAGAACCACAGAACCAGATAACAACAGGTACAGAACCACAGAACCAGATAACAACAGGTACAGAACCTCAGAACCAGATAACAACAGGTACAGAACCCAGTGGCGGGCTGTACATTTCACACCTAGGCCTTCAGTATTGCTCTGTCTGAATCAATCCACCCCTCAATAACTATTTTATTTTATTATGCAGAAATACAGAATGAAGAGCTGTTGCATCGCAGATCGATAACAACTCTTCTTCTACTGCAGCTACAGCTGCGACACACATAGAGAAGCATCAATAATGACCTAAATTATTTGTACACCAGATCCATCCTCCTTTCTTTCCTCAAGAAGAGTTAAATTACTCTGTCGTACAGATTGCCCGTGCGTTTCAGTTCCAACAAGAAGTCCCTCTCTATCTCCATCGAGGCTAATGCTGAAAGCCTGCCCTTTCGTATTTCTGGCATAAGTTTTAATTCGCTTTAGGGCTGAAAATGTCCGCTCGACAGAAGCAGGGGACACGGGGATGGTCACCGCTAAACACACAAACGTGTACAGCTGCCCCATGCTCTCGCTCAGTCGAGATCAGTGGGAGATTCTCCTGTAAACTCACCCATGGCATACATTACAGTCAGTTCTGTTCTCAGCCGAGACGGATCGAAGAGTGTTCCGTGGCTCTGTGTTAAGCTGGAGAAGGCTGCATGCGGGAATTTTTTCTGGTATTTACGAAACTTCTTGGGGTCGAGGAGGGCGACCAACATCAGTTTTTCGTAGTCTTAAAATCCTCTCTGTCTCTGGCAAATAGTATTGTCCAGAATCCTGCCGTGGAGGATCTTGCGCTTGACCTCTTCGTGCGCTGGGCACGCCTGCGGTGTGTTTAGTGGCCTCGTAGATTTCCTCATACCGGCACCTCTCGCTCAACCGTGTCATAAAACTCCTTTACCCTTGCCAGACAAAACTGTACATCCAGTTTTTTGTCCTGTAGTATTGAAAAGAGCACGTCTGAATACTCAAAAATACCATTAAAGGTGTGAAGCAAAAAACAAAACTCAAAATCCTCCAGACGTGCTTTAAATCCATCAGCACAGCACACAGAGTCCTCATCATACTCGTCATGATGCTCCAGAATGTGCTGAAACAGTTCTTTAGAGCATCGTCCTTCTCAAACACTGTATTGACCACTCTGGATGTGTGTTGCCACCGTGTTGGTGCCACATGAGGGAAGATGCCGCTGGCAGATTTTGTCCAGTAGTTGCATGCGCCGACGAAGGCCATTGAGGTGGACGAAAAAGATCTTGCATTCTTTAAAGGACAATTCAGGCACCGAGTTGGTCCGTTCTCTGGGATATGTTTTCATGCTAATCGACCGTGACCGGTTTTAGCACAAATCGCTAATTAGCTTATAACGCTAGTCAACGGGGCACCGAGTAACGTGAAAAGAGCTGCGGGAGCTCCGTGAAAGGGCTACGAGAGAGAGAGCTACCGGTAGTCAATGCCGCAACATAGTCTCGTACTTCGGGAAACTGGTGGTGTACCTGCGGACATTGTGAAGCTATATGGCCACAGAAGAGGAGTGCCTGTGTTGCACGGAGTGGGGCCTGTTGCGTCGCGACACCCAAGAGACGCAGTGTTGTGTACAGTGTGAAGATTTCCCCTCTCTGATTAACACAGCTGTACTCAAGCAAGCAGCGACTCATACCGGAGGGACCAGATGGACAGGTATCCACTGAGTAAGAACACTAGACGAGGTGTGTTTTACATCGGTGTGATTATTTCTGATATATTGAGCAAATTAAGTTTGTTTTAGTTCACATCGCCAGCTGGAAGTCTTTATCATTGATCTGCATGAATGACCTAACCCCTGACTGTTTTCCCAAGATAGCACCCGCCTGTATACGAGAACTACTGTTGTTCTAAACTATCTTTTTGATAAACTGTCTGTACACTTACAAAGTTCTCAGTGCTTCGGTTTACAGGTAGGGGCCCTCATTATGCTACTGTGTAAGTGCTAAAACCGGTCACGGTCGATAAGCATGAAAACATATCCCAGAAAACGGACCAACTCGGTACACATGTGTTATTAACCCCAGGTTCATTTTGCGCTGGAATTGTCCTTGAAGCTTTGAGGCCCCCTGAGTCAGTACTAAATTGAGCCGATGTGCATAGCAGTGTATGAATAAAGCCAAGGGTGATCTCTCCTTAATTTTAGCCTGCACCCCATTTAATCCAGAAGACAATGACCGCTGCACCACCATAACACTGTGCCACAACTTTACCCACACATTCATTTTCCACCAAAAATCAGATGATAAGACCTGCAATGTCATCAGCTCGCTTCCCACTGGTAACATCTTCAAATCTGACAAACCGCTCCACACCTGTGCCCGTTACGTAACGCAGGACCAGTGCGAGCTGCGCTGCGTTACTCGGGTCTGTCGTCTCATCCACCATAACAGAGACAAACGATGCTTCATTAACTTCCCTTCTGA